CCTTGAGCTGAAGAGCTGAGGGACAGTGCCCAGGCCCAGACTTCAGGCCCCACAACTGGATCCAAAAAAAAAAAAAAAACTGATGTGTCTGGGTGCCAGTGGCTTACACCTGTGACCCTAGCTACTCAGGAGGCTGAGATCTGAAGATCACAGTTTGAAGCCAGCCTGGGAAGGAAAGTCCATGAGAATTTTATCTCCAATTAACCACCAGAAAATGAGAAGTGGTGCTATGGCTCAAAGTTGCAGAGCACTAGCCTTGAACGAAAAAGCTCAGGGATAGCACTCAGGACCTGAGTTCAAGTCCTGCAACCGGCAAACAAATTAATATTTGACATGAATGTCTAAAGTTAAGAAAGAATTCTGTTCTTTCTTCTCTCCCTCCCTTCCTCCCTTCCTTCCTTTTTAGTCTAAGACAGAATCAAACTTGATACCTGATGCTTCTGCTCACGGGCTATTGTCTACCAACTGAGACATGCTTCCAAACCCTAAAAAAGAGTTCCACCTAAAAGGAACTAAGGAAACATTACAACTAAACAGAATTCATGGTATGCTACATGAAAGGAACTAATATTACAACTAAACACTAAATGCATGACTCTTTTTTACTATGGAATCTCAGGCTGGTCCTGAACTCCTTGGCTCAAATGATCCCCCCTGCCTCAGCCTTATGAGTGGTTGGTATTATAAGCACACACTAATATGCCTGGACAAGTGATGATTGTTATTAATAAAATTCCAGATCCAAACCCAAACCAAATCAAATACTATGAAGCACATTATTGAGATCTGAAAAATATGACTAAGGATGTAATAATGTGTATTAATGACAAATTTAGCGAGTGTATTAGCTGGATGGCACAGGAAAAAGCCTTTATATTTTAGAGACATATGCTTAGCTTTTAGGAGCAATGTCATATGGTGAACTAACATGCTAATAGACCAGGGGGGGAAATCAGGAAGAAAAAGCAAACATGAGAAATATTAGTTAACTTAAAACAGTATATGGGTGTCACAGTAAACTCTGACAGCATTTCTGAAGGACTGGACATTTTTTGAAATTCAAAAGGTAAAACTGAGGAGTGTTTTTTTTTGGTCAGTTCTGGGACTTGAACTCAGGGTCTGGGCACTCTTCCTGAGCTTCTTTTTGCTTAAGGCTAGCGCTCTACCACTTGAGCCACAGCGCCACTTCTGGCTTTTTCTGGTATGTGGTACTGAGGAATTGAACCCAGGGCTTGATGCATGCTAGGCAAACACTTTACCACTAAGCCACATTCCCAGACCAAATAGAGGAGTCTTTAACTACCATTTCCTGTAAGGGGAGCAAGAAATGTTTCTCTCTCTTTTCTTTTTCTCCCTGCTTTAATCCTGTTATGCTAAAATAAATCCTTGCCTCTATTGCTTCGTAGTACTGCAATTCCTTTCCACCTAGGTCTATATCTGGGATGGAAGCAACACATCCCTTGCAGCTTCTGCAGGATGGGCAATGATAGTGGAGTCCACATGTCTCAAATGGCTTTCAACTACAATGTCTTTCACTGATCCCCAAGGATTAAATTTATTTTGTTTCTTGTGAAGCAGGAACCATTGTAACAGATCTTTTTTGTCATATAGTTGTTGGATTTTTTAAAGTTCTTAATTTTGGTACATATTTGCTTTACTAACACCAACATTAAGTATTAGTCTCTTCTGTCTTGTCACTTAATGGAGCTAAATACACATAGAACAGGGTAGGAACTGGTCCTAAACTAAAAATATATAAATGAATTTTCTTGCTAAAACTTTACAAAAATGTAAAATAAAACAATGCATGAATAAAGAATGTGGGATTATATATATACACACATATATATAAATATATGCATACAATGTTACTAGCAATAAAGAAGAATGAAATTATGCCACGTGCAGGAAAATGGTTGAAACTGGAAATCTTTATGTCAAGCAAAATAAACTAGACTCAGAGGAATATTAGATTTCTTCTTCTCACATGAGGGATCTAGAATTAAAAAAACCTAAAAGTAGAAGGGGGAGTATTTGAGAAGAGTATGGGAACAAGAGGGAGGGAAGGAAGAGAACTGGCGGTGACAGGAGGAGTGAATATGATCCACGTCATGCCAGGCACATGGCTCATGTTTGCAATTCCAGCTACTTTGGAAGCATAAGTAAGAGGATCATAGTCTGGGTATTAATGAATGAGTGAATGGATGAATAAATAAACAAACAATTTGTTTTTATTTTTGGCAGCACTGGGGTTTGAACTCAGAGCTTGTACTTGCTGGGCAAGTGTCCTACCACCTTGCCTCCAAGGACCCAACTCTTTTTTGCTTTAGTTATTTTTTGTCTACAGTCTAGCACTTTATATATAGGCCATTCTGGATTGTGGTCCTAGTTGTTTCCCACATAGCTAGGATGACATCTGGATGCTTGGCTTTTCATTGGTTAAGATAGGGTCTAGTGAACTTTTTGCCCAGTATGGTCTGGGACTGTAATCCTGAGTAGCTAGGATTACAGGCTGATGATAGATCTCTCTCTCTCTCTCTCTCCCTCTCTCTCTCTCACTCACACACACACACACACACACACACACACACACACACACATAGATGCAAATGAACAAAATGCAGCTAAAAATCAATGAAAAATGAATATAACCCATTTGAAAACTGAGCAAAGGGGCTGGGAAGGTGGCTCAGTGGTAGAGCGCTTGCCTTGCATGCCTGAGGCCCTGGGTTCGATTCCTCAGCACCACATAAGCAAAAAGAAAAAAGC